GTCCATATGCATGTTTTCAGTGTTGTTTTTTTCTGTCCAAATTATGACAGAATTAGATCCTGGTTTCATTTACAATCTGGACTGTCCCACAGCGAGGATTAAGCAACGGGGTTTGTAAAACACCTCCCCAAAAGGGTGAGAAGCTGTTAATCTGCTTCTGAGAATTTCCTTCTGCAGATATTCCCACATTTTTCGACATTTAAAACAGAAAATTCAGCATGTGTGTGCATCAAAGATCACATATTTTTATCAACGTGCGGAAGGAAGAAGCTTATATATTTTCAAAGTGGATCTTAGTGCAAAGTTCCAGATGGAGAGCTGCTTTCACCTAAGACTTAAAACAAAATAAAAAGCAATAATAGAAAAGATAAGGACTATAGGTTATCACTGCATTTCTCAAAACAGCTTAAAATTTTAAGTGAAATTACAGGACATATATCAGTTTTTCCTGTCAAGTATTTTTTGTTGTTTTCTTTTATTTTCTCTATGATGACAGGTGTGCAAATATGAAAGGGGTTTCATAACACCAAAAAAGAGCTTTGCAGCACACTGAAAGCTGATGAAGTGCACCTTGTCCAAAGTCAAGTCTAAAAAACATTCAGTTCATGTCTTTGAAATAATCTGCATGACAATGGATTTCCACTGCTATTGTCTCATGCCAGATCTTTTTCATCATCTGAATCACTGCAAAGCAGCAGTTATGAAAGTCCTTTTTCATTAATTAAAGGTGATCTATGCCCTCTAGTCCAATTTATTTGACAAGCAATTTTACTGCAATATCAGGAGTGTAATCTTTCTTGAGCAGTTGTCTTTTTTTCTTTTTAATGAGAATTGGCAGTGCAGGTGGTCTTCTCAGGTAACATCTAACAGATGAAAGTTTGCTTTTTCCTCATTAATGGAGATAGATATGCTCCTTTTTGAAATCATTTCCTATTCATAAACAGTTAAAATAAGGTAATTCTTTGCATTTGTATTTGAAATACAAACACATTTCTTACATCACTTGATTTTCCATTCTTTCAGAAACTTTCTTTAAATTTAAGAGACTGACTCACTCTCAGTGAAATACTTTCTGTGCTCTTTATTTTTGTAGAAGATTCTGAATACAATACATACACTGTCTGCATCTCATCTGTAGCAGTGGCTCACATTAAAAACCCTACTTAAATAACTGCCATATTGTGCACAGGAGGTTGGGATGCAGCTTGTGTTTATAAATGCATATGCAAATCAAGCTCTAATGCAATTATTACTAGGAGTAATAATTACTAGGATTGCTATATTATGCGTAGAATACCTATTATACCATTGTCCAAATACACAGAAAATGTAGAAGGTATAATTGTGGTTTCTCTGCTTTTCAAAAGCTTTACCACACAGCTGACTTCAGTAGCACTGCTCATGAGGTCAAAAGGAACAGAAAATTGGAGTGGTTCTGCTCCTTCCAACTGACTCCACGGTGACCTGGGCTGTGAGAAACTGTGCTGAGATGGAAGGCAGACATGTGCCCCAACAGTCACTCTTCCATAGAAGCTGTTCTCGTGATCCAGTTGCAAATACAAGTTAAGCAACAAGAGGCTCAGAAGGCTGTGGAGGTCCTTCTTGAGAAGTAGCTAACAGATGATCTACTTCCTCTTTTATCCTTTAAGCTACTGTCATCATAAAGCTTGACATATTACACATTTGTTAAAGATGCTGATAACCAGGAAAACATAAGACTAAAGCCAAGCCCAGCTCAGACTTTTTTGAGATGTAGAGCTGTCACTTTTAAGTCTTCTTTTAAATGTCACTTCATGTAGCACTTAAATGAATATACATCTACTAGGAAATTCATTCTCTAAGCCTCTCCTCAAAACTGGATTTGGGATCTCTTGTTTTTGCATTTCCTATGAGAACAAAGACTATCTTCAATCTAGGGACATCCAAAATGGTCAGTGAAACAAGATACTTTTATTCAAACAGAACATCTTGAGTAATTTATATTTTTTATTGTTCTCTTTCTACATTTCTCTCCTGGTCATTGAACTGTCTGTGCAAGCAATTGCCAATATGTGATAGTTTTGTAGAATGTTCTCAATTTTTTAATTCCTCTGTTTTCAAGACATGTAATCCCTGGTCCACTTAGAGTTGACTATTCACTTTCCTTCAGTTTGGAGCACTGGTGAAGTTTTTTTTTCAGTGTTGCTGACTTCCCAAGCACAGCATTCTTTGTCTTTATGACATGACAGCATCAGAGACCCAAGATGGGTGAGTGGGGGTGGATTAATTTTTACTATTTCTTCAAACATTTTTGAAACACTGATTCTACCTCTCTGCTTCTTTACTGTTATCAGACTTTGCTCTGTGATGTCCAATGCTACTGAACAGATTTGCCTGGCACAGACTGTGGCAGCCATAGCCCTTCCTTCCATTTGCAATGGCAGTACAAGCAGACCCTGTACAGAGGCTGTAAAAGTAGACTTTCAACCTTACAGCCTCTCAGCTTCAGGACATCCTTTTGGAGAGTGGCTTTTTTAGCACACCCACACACTTTCTCTGGCATATTTAAAACATGGTATCTGACACAATTTTAAAGGGCTTTTGTTAGATGCCTTTGTTTTCCTGGCATCATAAAGCCCAGAGCAATATGAACACTTCGCTGCCCTTTCTCCTCTTGCTTCATTTGATCTGTAGCATCTTCCTTCCAATTTAATAGAGTTCAATCTTAAAAAGATGGTTTGGGGCGTCATCATTTAAAAGATGTGCAAAACTGTCCAAGGAGTATTTAAAGAGAATACATTATGTCCTATACAGCTTCCTATCACACTGGGATGTACAGACAGCATTCATACACTACAGCAAGAAAAGCAGAATTAGACTTGCTAAAAAAATTGTCATTATTGTTGCTTTGAGTTATCCTTGCTTCCATCAGATACTTTGTATTGTGAGGAATCATACTATTGTTTTGATAAAAAAAAATTTGACTTGATCATAGGTATATCTGCTGGTACTTTTGCTCGTATTAAGATCACAACACAGCATTGGACTACTCTAGTTTTTTTTGTTTTGTTTCGTCCATTGTGTGTAACAACAACAATGTTCCAAACTTGTCAGCTGTCCCTGCTCAGTGTCTGCCTGTTTTAACAGCATGGTCCAGTATCCTTACTTTAAATATTTTGTTTCCTTCCAGAACAAAGCAGGAGTCAGTTTTATTCACTCAACTGAGTGTCCCTATCAACATCAGACTATAACTTCACTGGGGCAGTGGCAATGGGCTCCATCAACTGCTGCATCCCGTCTTTGCTGGTACAAAGTGCTTGTGGCAAAAGAAGTCTGGAGGCTGAAAGAGCTCCTCTGCAGAAACCTTGAAATAGCCCTTTAAAGCTTATCATGACAGAATCACTGCCTGAAAAAGAAAAGCTTTTGATGGAGGTATGCAGGTGCAAATCTGATACTAATCAACTACTGTAGCCTGAAATGACATAAGTTATCTATGGACCATCAGAGAGGAAAGGAAAATCAAAGCAAAAGACAGAAAAAAAAAAAAAAGGTGTCACCTTTTCTCTGGTCACAAAAAAATCATATATTGTGTTGACAGATTGGTCTTTTCCCACTTAGGGAGTGTAGATGATGGCAGTAAAGAGTTTTCTGACAGTAAGAGATAGCCACTTGTGACTGTGATGGACAAAAGACCACATCCACTTCCCTTGACTTTCACTTTGGTGGACTAGCTGAGATGGACGGTTTCAGCTTCATCTTCTCTATCAGATCCTTCAAGCCACTGATTATAGTAGAAAGCCCTTTTCTGTGAGTGTTTCAACCAAGCAATTTTTTCTTAAAATGAAGAATTTTCAGTCTTTAAGGTCTTTATCTCATATTTTGTACTGATTTCTCCTTCCCAGTTTCACTTGTGTTATTGTACACAGAGATGATATCCTGCCTAATGAGGGCCATATTGGATAAGGCTGGTGACTTATGTAAAATTATTTACTTTGGAATCCAAACTGGTAATCTATCTGAACTTGATAGAATTTCCACACTTGTACTGAATCTCTCTTATTTAAAACCTTCCTACTGTCTAGATATACACAATCCCATACCCTACACCATGGAGTGGTCAATCCTAACTGTCACTCTAAAGGAAAGTCATGAATAAGAATAGTCTGATTTCTCTTTCTGCACAGTATTTCTTTAAATGGACATCTATGAAGCAACAACATTTTAGGGACCAACATTTAAAAATTAGAATGAAACCTGAAGGACAATCTTAGGAGAGAAGAGACTACAAATTGGATGATAATAATACGGCCTTTTTCACTGGACATGCAGTGGAAAAGCAAGGAAAGATTAGCGATACTGGAACTATAGATTATTTCTAGGAGCAAGTATGTAGAGTCATGTAAAGAAAGATACAGGCATATTTAGGCTTTCCCAGCTTTAAGAGGCCAACTTAGAAGAAGCAGTACCAAAGCAGAGCTCTCTGAAAAACATGCTGGTTTTGGAGAAACGCTGTGCCAGACTGTCTGTGAAACAAATCCAGGTAACCTTTAGGTGAAATAACCTCCTACTTCACTACCTTCATACACAGTGGTGTTTGTTTTATTCACTAAAATGTTACATTATCTCCACATACCTCAATCTCTCAGTGACATGTATACATCCTGGTTGCTAGTATGGTGCTGTGGTTTCAATTTTTGATGAAAACAGGGTTGAGAACACACCAATGTGCTTGCACTGAATCAACAACATTTCTGCTTCTTGCACTGCCCTGTCTTTAAGATGGTGGGAATGCACAGAAAGCTGAGAGGAAAACAACTGACCCAAATGGACCACAGGAGTGTGGCTAAATACATTTCAAAAAGACCCTATGCAAACGGAGACTGAATCAGCACTGTGGCAATACGCCCATGAATGGTATAAAAATTAATCAAGTAAGCAGTAAAATGGCATCATAACAAAATTTCTATGTTTCTTGGCCTAATAAAGATGACATTTCAAGTACTCATGTTTGGAATACCTACCAGCAGGTGCAGCAGCAGTTTTCGGTGCTGGCAGTAAGCTCTTGCGTGGAGTCGCTGTGCTGCTCGATACCTGCGTTGTGCTCTTGCTGCTACCCTTGGGTATGTCTTTAGAAGGTGCAGTTGCCTTAGGAGTGCTTTGTTCTTCATTTCCAAAGCTGGAACCTGCAGGAGACCAAAACTGCCCTAATTATAAGTTCATAAAAAATGTATGTGAACTTTGGCATACAAACTGAGCTTGTATTAGCAATTATAATCTACAAAAACATATTATCATTTCAAGTTGGGCAAAATTTCATGGATTTTCTCCAGTACAAATGGTTACATAGAAATAGTTCCCAGCAACTTACTCAAATGCTAGGTGTTGGTGGCTGTTGAATTCTAACTCTAAGAAGGACATAAAATTTGTTTTTGGCTAGCTTCTTAAAGGTATCTGGCTGTGAGGTTCCTAAGAAAATCAAGAGGTTTCTAAATCTACGTGTGTAGCAATTTTTTGAGGTACTGTAGTTGCCGCAGAAGCCACCCAATACCCTCACATTAAGACTTGGGCATTACTGGCTCTCACTGAAAAGGGCAAGAGCAGGTCTCAGTGTACAAGGCACTGAACTCTCCCCCCCAGGAGAGATTTCCTACAAGTATTTCCCCAGATCACCTCAGACATTTGAATAAGCTGAAAAAATAATTCTGCCCTAACTCTCACATCCACTTCAATCACATTCTCATACTGAATCTTGGGTTGCCAAGGTTTCCAGTTTATATTGAGCTCTTTCAAAACCTATAATGGGTTTGCTTTCCTCCTGTATTTCCCACCTAGGGAATAATCACATCATAGGCTCCTTGCAGATATAAGGAAATCAATCTTTTCTTAACATTTGAAAAAGGCAAAGTTGGAGTGTCTTCTTTATCTATTGAGTAGAAAGCATATGAGAAGCAAAAGATTACAGCATGTCTGGACCTGAACATTTGCAAAAAGATGAACATTTTGCTTGAAAAACTGAGCAGAGATAGTTGCGAGGAATACAAGGATTTCGGAAAATGACTATAATTTTTATTTTCATTATTTGAAAAAGATAAAATATAACACAATGCTGTTTACGTACTGCCTGCAGGGAAATGATAACATTCTTAAAATAATTGGCATGTTCAAGTTTCCAGTCTTCTTAAGATGTAGGATTCCTATACATGTGCAAGAAAGTTTTTTTTAGCATCCTTACTGAAAATCCACTAGAGAAGAAGGCTAGAAAAGAGAACCCTCTTTTCTAATAAAGGAAGAATATACCTTCTGGCTCTGACAAAACAGTGTAAGGCTTTTTTTATGTCTTTAGGGTTGCCTATATATATATATATATATCTTAACTTAATGTTAAAAAATTCATTGTTAAAAATTCAAACAAAACAATCTGCTGTTCTCTGTGCAGGAACAGGAAAATCTAAAGCATTCATCACCTTCACACCAATGGGCAGATAATAACCCCTCAGCACAACAGGCAGTTGTTTTATACCCAAAATACAAGGATTCTTCACCTGTGTAACAACCACTGAAAACCATGTGCTGAATTATCTGCTGATGAAAGACCGCTGACTTCAGTAAAGTCATGTCAGTGTAACAGCTGCAGCTGTGCCCAAGGACAGGGGCACCTTACAGCAAATTGAAGTGTTTGCTTCAATCTGTCTGCATCCTCACGAAGTTACTGCTGGTTTGGATATGCACTCCCCCCACCAGCGTAGGTATCTGCATTTGTAGAAAAAAAAATTATTTCCTTGGCTCTTTGTTCTAAAGTTTAAATCACAGAAAGGCAAACCGTGAGGAGGAAACTATTCCTGTTGTTTGCAGAACCATGCAGTTCAAATGCTATTTAATTGAAACTTTATATACCTAACCTTTATTCTCTGATGGGAAATTTATTACAGAGAACATTTCTGTTCAAAAATCTGCAGTTCCCCTGCTGAAGAATGAAGTGCCAAGGGGAGTTGCACAAATTCTTATTAAAAAAATTAATTTCTTTAGGTCTCAAAGATGAAGTGCAGCTTGCTACAAACACCTCTGCCATCCAAAGCACAGCTCACAGGATCTGCTGATTAAAGATACGGTGGATGCAGAGGCTGAAAAACATGACCTGGTCAGGTTCCCTGAATCAAGAATGCCCTGGGCTGCACACCTCCTCTGTGGGCTGAGATTGTTCAGTCTAAAGAAGAGGCTCAGGGGAGACCTTATCACTCTTTGAAGAGCCTGAAGTGGAGGTTGGCTTCTTCTCCCATGTAACTAGTGATAGGACAAGTGATAATGGCCTTATGTTGCAGCAAGGTAGTTTTAGGTTAGATATAAGTAAGAATTTCTTCTCAGAAAGAGCAGTGAGGCAGTAGCACAGCTGCCCAGGGAGGTGCTGTGGTCACCATGCAGACGTGGCACTGAGGGAGGTGTGCAGTGGGCACAGTGGGGTGGGCTGGCGGTTGGTCTAGATGAGCTTAGTGGTCTTTTCCAACTTTAACGATTCTGTGAAGAAAAGATTTGGCTTTTGATGGTTTAATGAGAAAAGCACTCTGTAAAATAACTGCATGGCTGCTCTGGTTGCCTGCAGCCAGCCACAGCCAGTTCCAGATGGTTCCAGTCAGTTCCAGTGGCCTCAGCACAGGGCACAGCCATGCTGGTGACACCTCTGAAAGAGTACATTTAAGGATAAAAAACATGGCACAGCAGTGCACACTCAGTTGCGTGATGAGAAAGCATGAGAGAAGCAGCCCTGCAGTCACAAGGGCATTGTGGCAGGAAGGCAGAGAAGCAGCTCCCTGCAGCCTGGGTGAGGCCCATGGAGGAGCATGCTGTCCTTCTGCAGACAACGGGCATCACACAGAGCATACCTCCATGTGCAGCCACGGAGGAGCCCGCGGGGCAGCACTGGATGCAGCCATGAGGAGGCTGCAGCCCATAGAGAGCCCTCACAGCAGAAGGTCCTTGGCCAGAGCTGCTGTCCTTGAGAGAAGCCTGAAGTGGGGCAGGTTTACCCTGAAGGACTGCAGCCCGTGGGCCACACTGGAAAAGGGGAAAAGTATGAAGAAGAAGAAATGGCAGAGTGGAGCTGTTCTGGACTGACCATAAAACTCCCATTCCTCATACCTCAGGTGATGCTCAGTGAGAGGTAGAGGAGTGCGTGTCTACAAGGCAGCATCTTGTCCCCTAGCAGTGGGGACAAAGAGGGCTCCATCTCACTACAAACGTTGTTGGATTCCACTTTGCAAATAGCATTTAAACAAGAAATGAAGCTAAAATTACAAGAAAAACACATATTCCTCCTGATCTGAGAGGAATATAAGGGTTTCCACTTACACAGAGGAATTTGTCTCTTGAAGGAAAATTAGAAAGATTATTCATCAAATGGTACTTGTCAGTCTATCCTCAGATAATGCTTCCCACCATTATGTGCAGCAGGTGAGTCAGTAGGATCAGCCCTCCCAGAGTCTTTTGAGTTCTTGTTTTTAAGTAAGAGCCTGAACAGAAACACCAGATGTACCGTGCATTACGAGTTTCCAGGTGACCACATCGCCCCTGTAATGTTCCTCTTCCCTCCTACTCCTCTAATTCTGCTTTTTATTTGAACCAAGAGAGATTCCTTGCTTGCCTTTGAAGCACCTGGTAAGTCATTTGGGCTCACCTGTATAATTCACCCTTTATTTTTTTAGACTCTGTGTTCTATGCAGAGTAGTACAGTTGACTTTGCAGGAAAATAATTAAAAGAGTATTAACAATCTCCTGGAGCTACAGACCTTCAGTCTAACTTTCAGCACCTCCTCACTATGAGCCCCAAGGAATCCTACTCTAGAGCTTGTGCAAAAATACAGGGAAGAAGGTTTTTGAAGACTTGAAAGTACTTTGGAGTGTCCCAACTGCACCCGCTCATCTCTACACCATTATGCCAGTGAAGGCATGCAGAATTCATGGCTGGAAGAGGTTCTGAGCACTCTGATCTAGCTGTAGGTGACCCTGTTCATTGGAGGGAGTAGGATCAGGTAACCCTTAAAAGTCCCTTCCAACTCAAACGATTCTATAATTCTGTGAAGTCAAGGACAGTTACATGCTGTAGGCAGTAGCTTGCTTCTTGGAAGAGGAAGACTCTTTTACATGTCACAAGGAGGAACCATTCCTTTTCTAGAAGCACTTACAGAGCGGAACATGGTATGATATTAGGTGATATTACATGCTCAGTAGGAGCATGGGTGGGGGGAATTCTGTGTTCGACAAGAAGTGAACCAGCCCAAGTCGCACGGGCAGGTCTTGTTTTGAGAAGAGATAGCGATGGGACGGGCTGCATTCTGTAGCTTCACAGCCCTGGCTTTCCTGTCTGTGCTCAGTGGCAATCAAGTCTGCTTTTGTTGGAGGATTTGGGTGCTTTCTAGAAAAACAGCTTGTCTGACAATGTTTCCGGGTCCCCAAGGAATATCAAAGTACAAGCGCAGCTGCTTCTGTTGCTCCCTGTCTTGTGGGCTGCTATGTGAAGCCTTCTGAAACGCAGCAAATTTCCAGCTCTTCACAGCAGGTCAAGCATTCTCTGTGCTGGCAGCAGGCATGGAGCTGCAAGCTCCTGTCACAGCTGCAATTGCACCTGAGATGACAGGAACGTGCTAGCATCATAAATTTTCATCGAAGTACAAACATTTACCCAGGGTAGTATCAAGCCCTTCAGAGACTCTTACACACTACTTGACTCCAAGTTTAATAACAACAAAGATATGTCTAGTTGTTGCAGCAACGATCCGCTATCACTAGTGTTTCTAAAGCACTTTCCAGTCATAAAACTCAATGAGCTTTACAAATAACAAAAGGATGAAGGAATTCAGCTACTCTCAAAATTCACACAGCAAGGGAACAGCAGAGACAGGCAGAAAAAGCATTCAGGAAAACCTGATGACGAATGAGCCCAGAATGAATTTTCTTGGCCTGCAAAATGTTGGGACGTATTGTTCCGCTGAGTTTTTCTAGTCTGCACTTCTGTGCCCCAGTTTCCAAGCACAAAATGAAATTTTAAATCACTGCCATGGGTAATGCTCTGATAAGGAAAATGCCTGAACTACTGTGAATAATCAGGTGATATTTAAAAATGCACAACACACTTTTCACTACACTGAAACACACGCCCATCCTTTAATTAAGGCCCACTATTTATTTGTGACTTTTATCTATAGAGTGGCAATTTTTATAGATGGATAACAAGATTTGCCACTCGCCAAGTAAGCATTTTATTTCTCTGCTTAGTGGGTTAGTGTTTTATAGCTCAACACTGTAAAATTAAATATAATGTGTCACACTGTAGTCAGCAGACACAAGTGAATGTATGGCTCTGAAGCAATGCCACTGTCCAAGTCGTACACTGTGATCCTTGGGGGAGACTGTGCTGTTACGATGCTATGATAGTAGATGAAATTACCAGATTGTTATTTTATCTTTGCAGAGAGCCAGCTCCCGCTAGTTTCCAGTACCCAAGTCCAAATGGGCAATAGATCAGGGAAAAGCTGGTGACAGATTTCTCTTCTGTCCAGAACAAGTAGCTGCATAAGGACTGATGCTCAAACAATGCTTAAACCTAGATTGCTTATATGGAGTATTTTTTCCCATCATGTATTTCTAGCTCAGAGGTGTTTTAGTAATGACCTTCCTTACTATATTCATTTTAGAGAGTGCTTGTTCATGCCTACATGCCTTTATAAAAGCTGATCTGTCAGAAGTCTTAATATTCAAAACAGAAACCCAAATTGTGAATTATGAGCTTGATAACTGCCATTCAGATAAGAAGCCAAATCTTCACTGCCTGTCAGCACAGTTTCCCAATTCCGGTGGGTTTGGGTCTCTGCAGTGTAGATGGTACCTCTGGGAGAGACCCTTTACCACCAGGGGAGGGAGTGTGGTGCTTCTCCAGATCTCATGACCTTTTGGACAGCTGAGATGAATCCCACCAGCACTGATGAACAATGACAGTGTTAGTGTTAACACAGACAACATATGAGGTTCTGTTCATAGAATCACAGAATGACCTGTGTTGAAAAAATGATCATCTGGTTTCAACCCCCTGCTGTGTGCAGGGCTGCCAACCACTAGACGAGGTTGCCAGTTGACGTGTAATAACCTATCTTGTTCTGAGGCCTTAATTGTATGATACTCATTTGTATCTGATAGCTTAGCTCTAGTTTTAGGTTGAAGTTTGAGCCTAAATAGTCCCCTAAATTTAGCCCTAATTCCATTAACCAAAATGTATGCAACCCTGTGGAGAATGACCTGGGGGTCTTGATAGATGAAAAACTTAACATGAGCCAGCAGTGTGCCCTTGTGGCTTGGAAGGCAAATGGGATCCTGGGCTCCATCAAAAGAGGGGTGGCCAGCAGGGACAGAGAGGTGATTGTTCCCCTCTACTCTGCTCTTGTGAGGCCCCATCTGGAGTACTGCGTCCAGGTCTGGAGCCCCCAGTACGAGAAAGACAGGGAGCTGTTGGAGAGGGTCCAGAGGAGGGCCACGAAGATGATCAGGGGACTGGAGCACCTCCCTATGAGGACAGGCTGAAGGAGCTGGGCTTGTTCAGCCTGGAGAAAAGAAGGCTGCGGGGTGACCTCATTGCAGCCTTTCAGTACCTAAAGGGAGCCTACAAAAAGGAGGGGAATCAACTCTTTGAAAAGGTGAGTGACAGCAGGACGAGGGGAAATGGTTTTAAGCTGAGGGAAGGGAGATTTAGGTTGGACGTCAGGGGGAAATTCTTTACAGAGAGAGTGGTGAGGTGCTGGAACAGGCTGCCCAGGGAGGTTGTGGATGCCCCGTCCCTGGAGGTGTTCAAGGCCAGATTGGATGGGGCCCTGGGCAGCCTGGTCTAGCATTAGGTGGGATGGTTGGTGGCCCTGCGTGTGGCAGGGGGGTTGGAGATTCATGATCCTTGAGGTCCCTTCCAACCCTGGCCATTCTGTGATTCTGTGATTCTGTGATTCTGTGTATCTGAAGAGTCCACTGCCTATAAAGCTGATGAAAGGCAAATTGGGAAGAGTAATGTTTCAACTTCTCATGTCTTCTCTTATGAAGATAGGCTGGGGGACCTGGACTTGATATGCCTGGAGAAGAGAAGGCTCAGGGGAGATCTCACTTATGCCTTCCAATACTTAATGGGAGCTTAAAAACAGACGGGAAATAAACTTTTTACATGGGTCGACAGTGATAAGGGAGAACGATTTCAAACTAAAAGAGGGGAGACTTAGAGTAGATGTCAGGGAGAAATTTTTCACTGTGAAGGTAATGAGGCACTGGCACAGGCTGCCTAGAGAAGTTGTTGTCCCATCCCTGGAGGTGTTCAAGGCCAGGTTAGATGGGGCCCTGGGCAACCTGATTCAGTGATTGGCAATCCTGCCTGTGGCAGGGAGTTGGTATTAGATGATCTTGGAGGTCCCTTCCAAATCAAGCCATACTATGACTTTAGCTAGACAGATAAAAGTTATGTTTACATGAATAAATATCTCTCTTTTTGTTCTTGCACCATAAATACAAACAATTCTTCATGTCACAGAAGGTAGGAGAACAATTTTTCCTGTCTGTACTGGTTTCATTGGCTGTATTTATCACCTCCCATAACTACAGGTGTGCAATAGTATGGTAGAAACAATCAGGCTTTGTGGCATTTCTGACTCAGTAGAAAAAAATAAAGTGGATAATTCATTTCTGTATGTTCACATGGAATTTAAAATATCCTTTTTACCGGTTTTGATTACTCTAAGTTTTTGATATTTAGAGTAATTTTTGAGGCACCGACCTAACTTCAGTGTCCTTCAAACATAACAGATACGAAAAATACAGCCTTCTGCTGATGCACCTTCTTGTATCAATATTTACTCATTTCACGTCAACAATTAAAATCCATATTTTAGGAGCCAGTTAAATGGATTTCTTACTTGAGTGGAGTTACACGTTGCTCCCTACTGAAGTGTTACAAGCTTCACTGGACAAAATGAAAATTTCACCATAAAATAAAATCTCTACATGTTTAAATGGAAACTGCAGGCAATTTT